GCACCCACCCAGCTGTATAGAAACTCTGTCATGCTAGCTAGTACGCAGTACGAGTTATTATAACTCACTGTAAATATCAGCATAGCAAAAATAATCTGCAAAAATGACCTGCAATCTGGGATATAAGGGGAAGTGGCACAAACAAATAAACAAAAAACAAAGGAGGTTAGTCCGCCATTACACGACTCACTCCCAATCAATAACCACCTTTACTGCTGGACGGACTAACCAAAACAAAATTACAAATCAATCAAAAGAACGAAATAAGAACAGCAGAGACAGCACAGCTTAAAAACACAAACAACATTATTGATTAAAATATTACCCAATAAAATATCAATTTTATGAAACCATTCAAAATCACAAAGCTAAAAAAAACACTCAATATGCCTACAATATTGATCACTTTCCCTGCACGCAGTCGATCTAGGGCTTGATCAATTCTTCTATTAAAACACTAAAAAAGTCCAACGACACACATTAAAAATGGGCACCTACAATAACAAATGATCCAAACAAAATGGCAAAAGTCTCTTACCGACAGTATACCCACTCGCACCCAAGTGAATTAATCGCCTGTTTTTTTTCCACAGAAGAGCGTTGACTTCACCCCACACACCCACTACCTTTTCACAGCTCTTCAGCCAATCACCTGGCAGAGAGCAACAAACTGCCAGGTGACACTTGTTACATATGGATACAGGGTAAGATGGGGTGTGGTTGCTTTCTGGACACTTGGAAAAATGACTGATTCACCTTTTCCTGCAGGTCTGTGTGCTTCGGACTACTGGGAATTATGATTATACTGTGTCTTGTGGTCCTCCTCCTACTGCTTTGTGAGTCTCCCACTGTGATTAAGTTGTAAGGGTTAGATGGGGGTTCTCTTGTTGTTTGCTCATTGCATATTAGGAAGTGAACAATGCTGCATACAATAGTGTAGGGTATACCACACATGAAAGCGCTCTGATTTTGAATATGCCTGCTTTTTGTTGCAGTGCTGGTCCTTGTATTTTTCTGTCTAAAAAAAAAAAAGAGAAATTGCAGCTTCATGACTCTGGAGACACTGGAGGAATCCTACTCAAATCTAACACAGAGGCCCCAGAGGACAGCATGGTAAGGATAGTAATTTGTAACCTGTGTCTCCGTTTCCAGTTTTTCTAAAAGAAACAAAAAACATATTTACTTGCTAGCTCTCCGTTTTGTTTTACAAGAAAAATTGGTTTAAAAACATAAATAACTGTGGGATACTGTTTGTTCATGATTTGGACAGGGTGAACAAATTATGGCATTATATAT